CTGGGACTGGCAGTGGGGAGGGAAGGTGGGCTGGGTGGCCGGGGATCCCTCCCCGGTCGAGCAAATACTCTCGTTTGCAACCCATTAGGTCCAACCTGTACAAGAACTCATATCCACGAGTTGGGGCAAAGTACTTATTTTCAGTCCTTAGGTCATGGGGGTAGGGAAGTGGGGGTTTAGGCTCACAATGTCTCCCATACTTTGGTTGGGTTCCTTTACCACATCAACTTGTATGCCCAAATTTTGGGATAATCTTTTCAACAGCTCTTGAGGCTTGAAGTTATTATAAGAGGGCAACATGCTTGTCCCAGACACAACTCTGTTAGGAGAGGCAGCGGCAGCCAGCTTCAGCTGAGGGCACTCCTACTCAACTTCTGGAACAGATGAATCCTGCAGTACCACTTTTCTGGTATAAGCCTCAGTACTGGAATCTGTATCAGGGATGGTCTGCTGAGGTAGTAGAGCCCTTCCTTCTAAGGCCATCAAATAGGAGTACCTTACTCTGCCCAGCTATCTTTGGGGTCAGAGAACGTCTTCAATGGGCTGGCAGCTTCTTTTCTCTCTTTCAGTACTAGCGATGGCAAAAAGTGCCAAGGCTCCTGGATGACAGCAGGAGTGCTCCTCATGGAAGTTAAGGCTTCAAGTCCAACTGGAATGGATCTGAGAAAGGTCACAATGCTATCTCCATCAATGGAGACTTCATCCTGGCCTCCCAGTCCGTTTTGGTACAGGGCTTGAAACCCCTGCACCAGAAGCTTGAAGCCCAATGATGGGGGAATGAAGCAAAGGAATCTCATAAGAACGTAAAGCTCCACTAAACTGAAAAGAATGTAACTAACAGCTAACAAAATGTGAATAATACCATTAGAAAAGAATATACAAATAGCAATACAATTCAGAGAACTTATAAGCACAAAGGGAACAGTTCCAACAACTATCACAGGTGGGAAGAAGGAAATGAGATGTGGAGTCAGCTGGCTTCATTGTACTGCTGATGAGCACCCATGAGACCTGATGGATAGCATTGAGGAGAAAATTTCTGGCAACTGTGCCATGGATGTGCACACTCCTACCTTGGGATGGACATATGCAATCATCTAACCCCATAAACTAAACCTCATTTTATCCACCATTACAATGTACTATGTGCCCAAAATAGAAAACATTGTCTACACTATAATCATAAATCAGAGGGGTTGTCATGTAAGTCTGTGACTTTCAAAACAAGTAGTTTGATGAAGTGGGTTTTGCCCAGCATAGAACTAATTGTTGTTTTATAATCATAACTGTTCAAGCCATAAAAAAGCCCGCCAGTAAATTTATCATGATCACTATTAACAAATATTCTAGTGGGATTTAGCATTCAGCAGCATGAAATGTAGATAACAAAAGTGAGAGGTTTTATATAATAGCTTTACTCTTCAGGAAAAAAATTATAATCCTACTACTTTGAGATTCTAAGTATGTGAACCTAAAATTCTTTTACATGAGTTTGATCAGTATAAGCCACTTACAAAAGTATGGGCCAGTTAATTATGAATGTTATTTTCACCCATATGGAAGATTTCTTCTTAAATGTTCTGGCCTCGTAAGAATGCAATCATGTAATATGTGTAGCACACTGGTCCAGCAGTAAGACACCAAGACCAACCAGGCTTCCCGCGGAACGCCCATAAACGAACAGGGGTTAGCTTACAAGGCGGATTTGTAGGAGTAGTTTCAAGTAATATCTTGAAACTATTCAGAAAATATTTAGTATGGTTTATAATAAACTAGATAAATATTCAGAACTAGAAACAATACCTCCATGGTGATGTGACAGACTTCCTCCGTTAGCAAGAATTTCCTCTCTAGCAGCTGTCTAAATTGAGGAAAACATTAAAAATGTAAATTAAATGCAAAATTTGGTACATTATATGATTTGCCAAATACTACATAGCAATTAGAAATACATAGTACACATAATAGTGCTTTTTCCTGATTAGAAACTTAATCAATTTTTCCCCTAATTGAAAAAAGCACTTTATTCCAGACCAAGAATATCCACACAAAATGGCTATTCTGGAATTGTTTATTTTACATATTCTGGAATAGCTATATTAATGATAAACTGAGCTGTATTATATACATTTCCAAGTCAGACAAGATTTTTAGAGTCTTTGTATTAATTCTCTACAGCTCAGCCACCAGGAATGCAATTTTACTGTTAAAGAAGGCAGATATATTGTGTTGTAGCCAGATACAGGAATACTAAAGGATGGGAAGAAAACTCCAAGGCTAGAAAAGTGTCCTGCAAATAGTGCTAAATAAGATCAGAGTGCCTCGCTGCATGAGAAGCCAAGGAGCCAAATATCAGAGCACAATTCATTATGCAAATCCTCTTACTTACACTGGACACAGCAATTAAAATAATAATGAATTTTATTCATATGAATGTTACCTCAATTTGTTCATAGACGTGAATAGGATCACTAATTCCCCTGTAGTTAAAGGCAAAATAGAAATAGACACATGCACCTGCGTCGTAAGTCTGTGTCACCCTGTTGGGGGGAGGGGAGGAGAAAAAGAGGTGTTACTAGTAATACTGCTGTACAAGCTACGCAGCATTTAAAGACTAACTAATTCACAGCATTACACTAGATCTCACTGATTCCTGAGTCAATTACTGAATGCTTCTTGTCTCAGATTTTTACATTTTCATCTTGAAGAATCGGGATCTTTTAAACTACCTTTGCCACCTCTTCCAAAGAGACTGAAGAGGCGGCATGATGGAAAAAATACTCAGTTTCAACCACTATTTCTAATTAAGTTGAATTGCTCCCCTCCCCCCTTTTTAAAAAAAAAACCAAACCACTAAAATTTCTATTGGGAAATAAAGCCTTTACAACACTTGGCATTTTCACAGCACCTGCAGGAGTTCTTATCTAACAACAATAAGAGTTATTAGATTCCTACTTGCTGTAGGCATCATGTTGGTACACACGCTTCAAATATTGCTTCTAAGCAAAAGATATTAGAAATACACATGGCTAGAAACAAGTTTATAGTCTGGAGAGTTATGTTGATTTCCTTTTCTTCACTACAGGTAACTATGCAAACACTAAGTGAAAGTCATCTAGTAACTTTAGGGTTAATGCACATGGGGAAAAATAGTAAGTGGACATTGCTAGATCCAAAATGGACAAATTCTAGAAAATCAAGGAGTACATGTTTTCTACAAAATTGAACAAAAAAGTTCATTGAAATATGATAGTCTCAGGAATGAGTGAATAGTCAAGAAAAAGTAGTTTATACTGCATCTCCATCTAACTCATGGTATTCATCTGACATACAAGAGAGGAAAGCATTTAACTGATAAGTAAGAGGACATAGCATATACTCTCGCTCTGAGGAGCAAGAACCTCTGCACCTCTACTCAGCAGACTTAGTTGCAGAAGGCCCCCCCTTCCTGAAGAGGACCCAGGCCACAGCAGGAACTATAAACTTAGGCTGTTGAGTTACAATACTTGATTCCCTCCCCCCCCCCAAATAGTCACTGTTGCTCCAGTGACATGCCTGAATCCTATCCCCTCACCAGGCCCTACCCATGCTCCATTCCAATGTTTAAATCTCATGAACCACCATAAAACATTTAGCATAAATGTTATACATGGCGATTTCTTAGGTTTCTTCAAAAGAATAAATGAAACGTTATGCCAGTCTTGTGCTTGACTTAAATGCTGATGGGGAACCCATTCAGATACAAGGGTCACCACAGAGATACCAGAAGAAGATGCCAAAGTACTCTGGAGGACCTGCTTGTCAGCACAGAAAAGGAATCAGAAGCAGCTGGACTTCCTTTTGGCAAGGGAAGACTGGGCATTCACATCTGTTCCATGGGACCCAAGTAGATTTTCATTCCCCCTCTGGGCCAACCATTTTCACCATCTGAAATTTCTCTACTAGGGATGTAAGTGACTAGTCTAGCAGTCAACTGCCCAAAATAAGTCTCTCTCTCTCTCGGTTATTATGCCTCCCTTAAACTGAACCCCTTGAACGTTATGCAAAAAGTAGACAGTAAAAGGATTTGAATAAGAGACAAATGGAAACTCAACAGCAGTAGATGACTTCAGCATCAAAACTCTGGATGGTTTCTAGAATACTAAAAACATAGGAAAAGTTATGAAAAGAATCAAAACAGAGAAAAGGGAGTTACTCACCTTGTGCAGTAACGAGTGTTCTTCGAGATGTGTGTCCCCATGGGTGCTCCACTGTAGGTGAAGGGTCGCCCTGAGCCTCAGATAGGAGCTTTGTATAGCAGTTTCCCCTGTTGAGCCACGCATGTCCAGGAGGTGTCTCGAGCCCTTCCCGCCTCCTGAGGAGCGTGACTCAACCCCCTCCCTTTCAGTTCCTCATCTCCGCCCGAGCAATTTCGACTCCGACAGAGGGGAGGCAGGGAGGGTCATGGAGCACCCATGGGGACACACATCTCGAAGAACACTCGTTACTGCACAAGGTGAGTAACTCTTTTCTTCTTCTTCGAGTCGTGTCCCTGTGGGTGCTCCACCGTAGGTGACTACAAAGCAGTATCCAGAATATGGCTGGAGGGAGCTGGAGTCAATGCTTGGCAGTGGTGGAGAGCACTGCCGTGGCAACTGCTGAGTCACTCTTAAGTTGTGGAAGAATAGCGTAATGTTTAGCAAAGGTATGATCTGAAGACCATGTTGCTGCCCGGTAAATGTCTCTTAAGGGGACATTGCCCAGAAAGGCTGTAGAAGCAGACTTGGCTCGAGTAGAATGCATTCGTGGTGGGCGTAGCAGCGGTCTATTGCCTAGAGAGTGGCGCTTAATTATGCATGTCGATATCCACTTTGAGATTCGTTGCGTTGATATTGGTGTCCCTTTGGATCATTCAGCAATGGAGTTAAAAAGTCTTTCAGATTTACGAAATGGTTTTGTTCTTTCTAGGAAGAAGGCCAGAGCCCTCCGGATGTCCAAAGTGTGCAGGCTGGCATCTGTCTGTGATGAATGCGGTTTTGGGAAAAAGGTAGGTAACACGATCGGTTCGTTAATATGGAATTCTGTACCGACCTTTGGCAAAAACGTGGGGTGGGGTCTAAGTATGACCCTATCCTTTGTGAAAATTGTGTAAGGAGGTTCTGACATTAACGCTCCAAGTTCGCTCACCCTCCTGACTGAGGTGATGGCTAGGAGGAAACAGACCTTCATAAAAAGGAAAGGAAGTGGCACTGTTGTCAGTGGCTCAAAGGGAGGTCTGGTGAGGTAGTTCAAAACAAGATTTAGGTCCCACAAGGGGGGTGGAGTCCTATGTGGTGGGTATACATTCTGGAGTCCCTTGAGGAATCTTTTTGTAATAGGGTGGTTGAAAACGGAGAATCCATCTACTGGTGTATGAAATGCTGCTATTGCAGAGAGGTGTACTCTTAGGGAAGAGACAGAGAGTTCTGATGCTTTAAGGTCCAGAATGTAATCTAGAATGGTATCTAATGGTGAGGCACGGGGCTCCATTTTGACTCGCTGACACCAGTGACAGAAACGTGCCCATTTCTGTTGGTAAGTTTTCCGAGTAGACTGTCTCCTGCTCTGGAGGAGGATGTCCTTTACTTGCTGGGAGCAGCGATCTTCTACCTCTGAGAACCAGAGAGAAGCCAAGCCTGAAGATGCAGGGTATTGAGTTGTGGGTGCAGTATCTTGCCGTTGTTCTGAGATAGTAGGTCTATCCGGTACGGTAGCGGGTAGGGGGGCTGGACCGCAAGCCTGTGAAGGTATGGGTACCAGGTTTGTCGAGGCCATGATGGCGCAATCAGGATGACTAGGGCTTTGTCTCTCAGGATCTTGCACAGGACTCTTGCGAGCAGTATGGGAGGAAAGGCGTAGTAGTGTAGGGGGGCTGTCCATTTGATCAGGAAGGCATCCCCCAGAGAGTGTTTGCCAAGTCCCGCTCGTGAGCAGAATTGGGGGCATTTGGTGTTCTGGGTAGAAGCAAAGAGGTCTATCGATGGCCATCCCCACTGGTGGAAAATTGAGTTCGCCACCTCCGTATGTAACTCCCATTCGTGGTTCAAAGCGAAGTTTCGGCTGAGTGAATCCGCTTTGATGTTGTTCACCCCGGGCAAGTAGGACGCTATGAGGGTGACTTGGTTGCGGATGCACGAGTTCCACAGGCGAATAGCCTCCGCGCATAAAGAGCGGGAGCGGGCTCCACCCTGCCTGTTTATGTAGAACATTGTGCAGATGTTGTCTGTTAGGATGCGGACTGTGTGATTGGCGATGGAGGAGGCAAAGTGTGCACAGGCATTCCTTACTGCCCTTAACTCGAGGAGATTGATATGTAAGTGTGTCTCGTTTGGGGACCATCTGCCTTGAACTTCGTGGCCGTTCATATGTGCCCCCCAGCCTAGCAGGGAAGCATCTGTGGTGATTTGGATAGTGGGTTCGGTTTGTTGGAACGGAACCCCTGTCAAGAGATTGCTTGGCACTGTCCACCATCGTAAGGATCCCAGCACGTCTGGTGGGATAGTAACCGTTTTGTTTCGAGGGTGCCGTGATGGGATATAAACAGTTGCCATCCAGAGTTGAAGACATCGAAAGTGCAGGCGAGCATGGTGGACTACATAGGTGGTGGAAGCCATGTGGCCCATTAGTCTGAGGCATGTAAGTACTGTGGTGGTAGGAACTGTAAGCATCCCATTTATAATTTCTTGCATAGTTGCAAAACGTTGTTGAGGTAGGTATGCCCGGGCTGTCACTGAGTCCAGGCGTGCACCAATGAACTCTATGTCTTGAACTGGATACAGCGTTGACTTGTCTTGGTTGATTAGAAGGCCTAGACGACTGAGGAGGGTCGTGGTCGTCTGTATCATAGAGGCTGTTTCGGCGTACGAGGATCCCTTTAGGAGGCAGTCGTCTAGATAGGGAAATATGATGACGTTTTGTCGTCTGAGATATGCCGTCGCGACAGCCAGTACCTTCGAAAATACTCTCGGGGCTGATGAGAGGCCGAAGGGGAGAACCCTGTACTGGAAGTGGTCTGGTCCCAACATGAAGCGCAGGTAACGTCTGTGGGAGGGGTGGATGGTTATATGGAAATAGGCATCTTGGAGGTCGAGGGCTGCAAACCAGTCCCCTTGATCTAGCGCAGGAATGATTGTGGAGAGTGTGACCATCTTGAAATGTTGTTTCTTGAGAAATTTGTTCAGTTTGCGGAGGTCCAATATAGGTCTCCAGCCCCCTGTTCGTTTTTCGGTTAAGAAATAGCTCGAGTAAAACCCTCTCCCGTGGAACTCTCGGGGTACCCTTTCTACTGCTCCGATGAGGAGGAGTCGATCGATTTCTTGTTTCAGAAGGGTCTCGTGAGAGTGGTCCCTGAAGAGGGACGGGATAGGGGGAAGGGTAGGGGGGATAGAGGTGAAAGGGATGGTGTAGCCCACTCGAATGATTTCCAAAACCCAGCGGTCCGATGTTATGGACTCCCATTGAGGAAGGAATGGGCGCAAACGATGGGTGAACAGATGGCCATGTTGGGGTAGTGCTAGATCGT